ACATCTCTAGGGCTCGGTATATTTCCGCGATGATCATGGGCACAATGCTGAATGGTTGCCCTCCAATTCCTTCCATTAAGGTCTTAGTGACCATGGCTAGTCTTGTGTGGATTCTTGCTTTCTTCATTGGAAACACAATCAACCCCAGGAAACAGAACATGAATACAAAGACCCTTCTATGAGTATGCCCTAATGATGTGATGGCGAACTCATCAGGATAGGTACGGTAGGATTTGCTGGGACCGTACCTCTCGTACAAATAGTCAAAGGGGATATAAGATTCTTTTAGGCATGTCAGTTCTGTATTCTTCTTCAGACCCATCATTTTGAGGAAACCCCTGCCCTTGCGATTCTTAGGCATCAACAAACCCAGAGTCTCCCACACCAAACCGGCCAATCCTTCTATTTCCTCTAGCAAGGGTGTCATCTCAATGTCCCCAAAGCGGAACACAGCCCTTTCGCAATCCCAAAACAATGTGGCAGCTTCTATGATTTTGTTGTTGGATTGAACCTCCAGGAGGGAAGGTAGATTCCCTAGATATTTTCGAAGAAGAGTCTGGTCGCTGGAGTGAAGATCTTTTCACCAGCTTAGTAGTCTTGGGTGGATGTTGGTAACCATGCCGAATCTGGGGATTTCGTGCCTCATTATCTGCAAGACAGAAGGGTTAGACCCTACCCCCACCGGACTCGACTATTTAACATCAACAATTAGCATTAAGCATTTAGTTCTCCAAATAAATTCACAGAATGTGATGATGTCCGTTTGGGTTTAGGGAAACCAGTGGACTTTGGACAAGGCTATCTTAAGGGATCATTATGTGGACAACATAACTGATCCGGCTAGGTTGACCATGATGCATGTACAATTTAAACGGAGTAAGGTTTCTATGGGGTTTTTGACTGTTACCCTTGAGCGGACAACTCAAGGGGGAAAGGCACGGAACCGTCGACTATACCGTTGATCGAGTGGTTTTACCGCAAATACGTCTTTCCATATTTAGGGGATAATGAATTAGGAAGAGCGCAACAACTCATTATAAGCGTTGCTATGGGATTTGTTTGGCACGAGTGGAATATGATGTTGAGCATGATTATGCAATAAAAAAAACATGTTGTCACGTAATTGCATGTTTAAGAAAGCAGTAAATACAACAGTTTTTTAACAGTAAAGCAGTAATAAAGAAAGTGAAAGAAGAAGATAAGTTAGTTTTGCTTTGTAAAAGAAATTAAATGCTTAAAGGAATTAAACAAGTAATTGCACATAAATAGATATAAATTCACAATAACAGTTTGAAATGGTAAAAAGCCTAAAATCCCCAGCGGAGTCGCCATGATGTCGCGTCCCCTTTTTCTCACGAAATAGGGTTCATGACATTTGGAGGGACAACTCGTTCCTTTTGGGAACTGGGTTTTGAAGAGTCGCCACCTAATGATTTATGGTGCTGTATTAAGGATTGTGTTGCTGTTGGACAGGTTGGCTTTAGCAAAGAGCGTTAAGTCATCAGCAAAGAACATGTGAGAAATTATTGGCCCAGTTCTGCTGATGCTGATTGGCTGTCAGTCTCCATTTGAGACATTGCTGTCTATGGCTCTTGACAGCCTTTCCATGCACATGATAAAGAGGTAAGGGGAGAGGGGGTCTCCTTGTCTGATGCCTCTAGTGGGCACAAAGGGTGCAGTTTCCCCCCCATTGACAATAACAGAGATGGTGGATGTGCTGACACAAGACATGATGAGGTTGATGATGCTGGTTGGGAATCTAAAAACATGGAGGGTTTCTTTGATAAAGGACCATTCAAGCCTGTCGAAGGCCTTTTCCAAATCTGTTTTGAGCATCATGTTACTAGATTTGCCTTTCATTTTCCCAAAATGGGAGATATATTCCTGAACAATGATGGCATTATCAGAAGCTCTCCTGTTTGACAGGAAGCTTGCCTGACTGGGTCCAATGATGCTTGGGAGGAGAGGCTTGATCCTATTGACTATGATTTTTGTTACTGTCTTGTAGACAGTGTTACATAAGCCTATAGGTCGAAAGTTCCTAAGCACTGAGGCATTGGGGCATTTTGGGATGAGGCAAAGGAGGGTTTCATTCATTCTTGGGTCCATGATAGATGTGTTGAAACAGTTTTTACAGAAGGAAATGACATCCTTGCCCACGATGTCCCAGTATATCTGATAGAAAAAGGGGTGTAGACCATCAGGCCCAGGTGCTTTAAAAGGCTTGAGGGAGAATATGGTAGTTTTGATGTCACTCTCCCTAAGGGCCATTCCTAACATTGTCTGTTGAGCCTGTGAAAGGGTTGGCCCTTGGATTTCTGTGGATGAGATTCTAGCTTTGGATTGTTGGTGTGAGGATTTGCATAGTTCTATGAAGAACTGGGAGATAGCCTGATGGATTTCTCCTTCTTCAAACATCCATTGACCACTTTCATTCTGGAGAGATAGTATTTTATTTCTCCTCCTTCTATTAAGGGTGGATGCATGAAAGAAATTGGTGTTTGCATCTCCTTCAGAGAGCCATTGGATTCTGGATTTCAACTTCCAAAAGTCTTCCTCATTTTTCAATATTGAGTTAAGCTCAGCAATGAGTTGTGTTTTCAGACTTTGAAGGTTTGTACTTGTTGGGTAATAGGGAGATTTCTGGATTCCTGCAATCCTTGCGAGGAGTCTCCTTTTTTTGTGAAAGATGTTGCCAAAGGTGTCCCTATTCTAACTAACAGCTTTTGCTTTAAACAGGGCTGTGGAGGGGATTAAGGTAGAGTTTGGGCTGAAAGAGTCCCTAACCAAGCTTTGGAACATTGGGTGGCCGCACCACATGGATTCAAACCTAAATGGCTTGTTTATAGGACTAGGACTGGCATTACTAAGGCTAACAAGCATGGGGCAATGGTCTGATTGAGTCCTAGGGAGGTGTGTGATGTTGGCTTCAGGGTACTGATTTACCCACTGGTTATTAGCGAGGCATCTGTCTATTCTTTCTAATATGAGGTTGTTTCTTGTTTTGTACCTCTTATTAGACCAGGTATACTTACT